TTCAGTTTCTACATCCTCTTCTAATTCTGCCTCTGCCTCTGCTACATGGACACAATACAGACAAAAATGATATAGAATTAGTGTATACAGTAAAACTTATAAAGTAATAACTTACTAACTTATTGAAAACAGTTCAATCAGTGACTGATAAATGCTCACCATGCCTCACTGTCAAACCCTCACTACTAGTGCCTTCATCTGGCCATGATGCTTCTCTTCCTGAAACTGAAATAAAGTAGCTTTAATGGGTTGCAAACAGATACTATATTCCATCATTACAGTGTATAGCTATTACGTATATGCCTGCATGCCTTTATGTGATATGTGTATATGGCTATTCATATAAAATATATAGTATATCTTATCTTATTTGTATGGACCATGAGTAGGTAAGTTACTTATTTGTTATTGTACAAACATACAACAAAATACTTTTTATGGTTCATTATTATCCACCAATTTAGACTTTGTGAAAATTCAATCGATGCAATCTTTTTTGAAATAAGCCTATTCCATTTTCAACTAAACACCTGTGCCTAGCCTTACTCCGCCCACATGAACATTTGAAATTTTTCTGTAAAAATGGCACCAGTGGAGAAGAAGGGGGGCTTACAGTTGGGCATGGTCTGGGCTGTGATTGTCAGTTGTCATTTCTGGCTTAAAAGCAATAGTTTACACACCAGAAAGTCTCATTTCACCCTTTAGACCATTAGACTTATTTACATTATTTTGACCACTAGATGTCACCAGAAAACTCCAAATCGGTGCGGGGGCGTGTGATTTGTATGGTTATAACCAGATGATCCAATGCAGAGGCCAGTGAGTGACCCGTGACTTATGACTGCAAGACTCACGGACGGACAGATTATGACAATAGTGGGAATATAGGGTACAGGGTTGTACATGAAAATAACTCTTTGCTGCCTGCCTTTGAAGGAGAAGTGGACAGCAGTGTGTGTGAGCTCCCTTTACAGCTGCGCGTCTGTGTGTGTCACTCTGGATAACGTTTTTTTTTACCACGTACACGGCACACTGTTAGCTCTCCGTGAGTTTAGAATACAGAAACAAATGTCTCTGGGTTTTCTCCTGATGTGGCCTTAACACGTCTCTATTTACTCACCTCTCGTGTGGAAGAACTGAGTAAGCAATTGCTTGCCCTCATTACACTTTTTCTCCTTGTCCTGTCTTTCTTTTCTTTTCTGAAATCCTGATTTTCCTTTCTTTGGAAAAGACATTTCTATTTTTCCCGCTTCTGCCGCTGCTTGTCAAAGAAGTCAACTCGCTGCAGCGGCAGCAACACAGCAACAAGCGCACATGTGGGTCGTACCATTTGATCTTTTGTAAGGGGGTGGCAGGGCCCTGATATAGCATACAAATTTGTTTTTAGAGGAAAACTGAGGTTAAAACGTTGGTTATTTTTATACAGGGCCCCTTTCATTCAAATTGTAATAATATGAATATACCATAATGCCTAATACATATAAATATAAAGACACACTAGAGGGCCCCTCCCCGCCTTGGGCCCTGGGTACTCGGTACCCTTTACCCCCCCAGTCCGACGCCCATGATCCCACCCACGGGCACAGTGGGCGCCTGTGGTACTGCAGACTAAATTCATGTGGGCTACCCAGAATAAAGTCCCATAGAACTCAATGCAAATTAAAACAGCTCCACCTCAGCTGACAGAGAACCTACTGCATGCTTTCAAAAAGGTCGGATTTTGTGGGGATTTTAGTGTCCCTTGACCTGCTGAACTTTTTTTCTTCGTAAATCCTTCGGTTTTCTTTAAATCCACACTTTACTGCCACAAACTCTGCTCCTTTCCTTCCCGCTCTGACTCCGCTCTGCTGCTGCTCTGATCAGCAGCTCTGATTGGTCAGAGCGCGGCCGAGCCCCTCTGTGCACGTGCATGAGAGCCACACACGCGTATTTGGCGCAACGCATCATGGGAGCTTGTCCACTGCGGAGAACCGGGAGGACCAGTCGATGCCCAAATATAGGCGAGTTCTGCTACTGTCCCGGTCCCCGTGAAGTCCCATGTGCTACTGAGCACAAGCCATTAATTTGAATAGGGCGCCATCTTGGATCACCGGGGCTTGGTCCCTACAGTTACAAGTAACATGCACAAATCATATGTGACCAATTCTGAATAAAGGTTTAATTCTAAATGTAATGACTCTATTCTAGCCTGGCCTTAGCCATCCGTACACTCGGCTCAAACATCATTTCACTGCATGCAACGTCTGGGTCTGGTCCCCATGTTAGCGATTACAATCGGTTGAATTTCGACCGACCATTCAGAGAGCGCGGAAGGCGGGTGTTGTAGTTGGTTGTGGGTGATGTCAAGAGTTTTCGTCGAACAGGCAGGTTGTAGTTTGACAATGGCGAAAAATGCAATAGTAAAGTATTCCGGTCTGGTTCTATCAAGAAATTTAAGCCGGAGCAAGAGTAATGTTTAGCAAATGTAATCGCTGGAAAAATTGTGGCGCTACTCCCCACGGGCTCCGTTAGCGGCAAAGGAGATAGCATTTAGCATTTAGCCTAGCCAACGACTCGGGCGCACTACATACGCCACGGTAAACTCAGATCCAATAGTTTGAATCTGCAAAAGAAGTTAACCCCTCCCACCTGTAAACGGAGCTCAATGGAGCACCTCCAGACCTTAGTATGAAATGTAATTTGTACTATGGTGTGGTACGACCAGGCTAAAACTATTCAAACATAATATACGTCTGTTCATTTGGAAATTAATCTTGGCTCCATGTTGTTATGTATGTACAAAATAGACAACACCAAACAATTAACAGCAACACACACATTTATTTAAATGTAAAATAAGTAGTCTTACGTGATACATAGAGTTTGTACCAGGAATATTCCGGCAACAAAAGTTGGTGTGTAATGGGCTCGACACAGGGGAGGCGACATCACATCGCCTCCATTCATTTTCAATGGGACGTGCGAGACATAGCGTCAATCGCTAGCGAGCCTCCTGCTCAGCGACGGGCGAAAAACGTGCGTGTGAAATCCTCCCGCTCGTGCATGTATTGTGCACGCGCAGGTCAGCGACGCGATCCCAGAAAGTTGAAATTGGCTCAACTTTTCGACGCTGTCGTCAAGGTGAGAACCAATCAGCGGAGGTGGCATTGACGGACCAATCAGCAGTCAGGACACTACTCGGTCATCTCATTGGCAAAAACAAAACAACGCGAGCAAACATGGAAGAAACTTTGATTCTCTCCATTTCAGACTTTCCAGAGCTGTATGATATTTTATTAAAAGAATACAGAGATCTAAATAAGAAGGCGGCGGCTTGGGCGCTGGTTGGCGCCAGAATCAACATGCCAGGTACGTTTATATTAGCTACTTTGTAAAGTAGAAAAACAACAACACACGAACAACTAGGCTAGAGCACTACACTGGAATCAAAAGTAGCCTACTAAATGTTGCTACTCAATGAACCTAGTATCAAAACGAGGAAATGTTTATTTGAGCAAAGTACATGATTAAATAAGTTATTTAGCTAAGAGTAAAAAGTCTTTCATAGACATTTAAAACCTCTCAAAATGTTGGGGAGTAGCGTTAAAACTAAAAACTATTCTCTAATATTTTGTAAAGCCAAGTACAGATATCTTAAATAATTACTTAAGTAACTACAGTACTTTTACTTTTGTACTTAGTTACTTTCCATCACAGGTCTTTGCAGTTAGTGTATGAGGTGTGAATTTGTTTACGTATTTATTTAGCTATTTATTTATGAGAATGAATATTAATCAAAATATGAACAAAAACATCACTGTAAAATATACTACAGTTCAACTTCTCATACAATGTAATAATTTTAACAAAGTATATGTAAATACTAATGTAACTTTAATGAAAAAAAATATGTACATTCATTGTTTTATGGTAATGTTTAACATTCTTTTCCAGTTTAAAACTATTTCATGCTGCCAAGGAACTTCTCCAGCTGGTGATGAGAAATAATCACAAAATCTGTCTCTTATTTTAGAAGCCTCTCTGCTTGAGTTGTTGGATCCAGTCTGTGGGATGGGCTGCAAACCTGCGTCTGTTGTCATGTCGTCAGTGGGTGATGCTTGTGTGTGTGGTGTAGCTCTGTCAACTTCACCATTTCTTCTCATGTTGTTTTTGAAGCACACAGGTGGCCTTCACAACATGGTCAGCTTTTTTGGGGCAGATACTCAGGACACGGCGGTAAACACGCCACTGTGTTGAAAGAATGCCAAATGCATTCTCTACTATTCTTCGAGCACGAGACAAACGGTAGTTGTAGCATCTCTTCTTTCTCTCTAGATGTTTGCCAGGATATGGTCTCATGATGTGGCGTTGAAGAGGGAAGGCTTCATCTGCCACTAGTACATGTGGCATAGGCCCCAGGTGGTCTGAGCCTTGTAGTGTGGTGTCTCCAGGTATGCCCAGTGTGCCAGCCTTCAAACGTTTCCTCAGGGGAGACTCCGACAGTATGCCCCCATCACTGTTTCTCCCATACCCACCCACATCAATGACCCTAAACATATAATTTGCGTCGACCACAGCTAACAGTACAATTGAATGGCTACCTTTGTAATTAAAATATTTAGAGCCAGAAGATGGAGGGGCTTGCAGCACTACATGTTTCCCATCAAGAGCTCCTATGCAGTTGGGAAAGTTCCATCGCTCTCTAAAACCATCTGCAATGGCTTTCCAGTCCTCTGTTGTTGGTTCTGGCATGTACTGAGGTTGCAGCACATCCCAAATGGCCTGAGACACATCACCAACTATTTCTCCTACTGTTGAGCGGCCCACACGATAATTGAAACCAATTGTTGAAAAGGAATCTCCCGTTGCAAGGAATCTGAAAAGAGAAAAAAAGTGTTTTTAAAATGAAAATGTCCACTACCTCTCTCATCCCTCCCTCCACCTATAATCATCTATTATTTCTCCTACATTCCTTCAATACCCCACCTACCCAACCATTCTCCCCCACACACCACCTCCTATTACACCATATTCCCGCAGTACCCTCCCCCTCCTCCACCCTCTTCATTTCCTACCCACACCCCACTCCCCTATCATTCTCCATCCTCATTCACTACATAAAGTCACTCACCCCATCCTCGTACCCCGATCAGCCTACTCCCCACAACCTAACTCCATTCCATACCCCTCCTCCACCCCCACACCACCCCCCACCCCCCCCCCACCACCCAACAACACCCCCCCACCGCCCCCCACCCCCCTTCACCTCGTCATCATCCCCATCAATGTGTGCCCCATCCCACCACCCCCTTTTAATCACCCACCCCCCTCCCTCACCCTTCTCAATCATCTTCATCCCACACACACCCCTCCAAAATCCCCCACCCTCCTTCCCCCCATCCCTTCTCCCCCCCCCTCCACTCCTTCCCTATTTCTCACCCTCACCCTCTTCCACCCCCCAACTCCAAATTCTCTTATATCACCAAAAATAAAATACCTCAAATACAAACAAAAACACCCCTAAAATCCCCTCAATTATCCCATTAATAATCAACCTCCATTCTTCCATAACATAACAAACAAACCTAACCTCTCTAAACACTCACCCTTCCCACCTCCACACAAAAATATAAACATATTTACCCCACACCACTGTCCATTCCCATATACCACCCCCCATCAATCCCCCCACATTACCCACCAAATTCCCAACCCAACCCCAAAAACCCCCCCCCAAATTACTCCTCTCCCCCCTTCTAATCTACAAAACATCCTTAAAAATACACACTAACCCCCTTATCAACCCAATACAATACACCAAACAATTATTATCCCCACCTTTCACAACCAAACCCCCCCCCAAAAATTTATAAAAATAAAATCACCCCCCCCCCCCCCCCCCCCCCCCCCCCCCCCCCCCCCCCCCCCCCTTTTTTTATTTTCAAGGCGGCATTTGGCAGCGGGAAGAAAATTGAAGGCAGATTGGAGGCAGGGTGAAGAGGAGGAGGAGGGGAGGCGGTGGTTGCGAGGCTTCAGGAGGCCGGTAGTGGGAGTTGCTCCGTTTTTATGCGGCTGCGAGTCGGTACAGATGATTGGGGAAGGGGGCGTCTGCTGGGCGATAGGCTGGGGATGCGAGCCGGCCTGGAGGGGGTAAATTTGGTTAACGTCTACCAAATTGAATTTTCGCGGGCTGCATTTCAATTTGGAGAGACGAGAAAACAGGAAGTTGAGTATTTTATGAAAGGAGGTTTGGCGCCCTAGGTCCCGGTGCGGCCTTCGGATCGGAAAGGCTCCTGCGATGAGCGCGCACAATCCCCAAAAAGGCTGCGTGTTGATGGAGTTTTCGAAGCCTGGTTTGGAGTGGACAGACGTCGTGACTACTCTATTCTGTGACCGCTATCGCTAAGCTGTGACCGCTATCGCTATGCTGTGACCGCTATCGCTATGCTGTGACCGCTATCGCTATATGCTGTGACCGCTATCGCTATATGCTGTGACCGCTATCGCTATATGCTGTGACCGCCAGCGCAATGCTGCTAACCATTTTTTGCTATATGCTGTGACCGCTATCGCTATATGCTGTGACCGCTATTGCTATATGCTGTGACCGCTATCGCTATATGCTGTGACCGCTATCGCTATATGCTGTGACCGCTATCGCTATATGCTGTGACCGCTATCTACTGTGATCAGTACTTGCGGATACTCGGCTGCTGGCGGCGCCTATCCGGAAGGAGTGAGCTGCGTAGAGATGGGGAGACAGGTTACGAAGCAGCAGTAAGGACTTTAGTTGGGCTCTGAACCCGTTGGATGACATTGGGAGGTGATCGGGGGTGAGAAATAACGGTCCGTTGAGATCTCCTTTCCGAGAGCGGAGGCGAGTGTAATGCATCGTGGGTTATTTTTGCGCGCTGGGAACGTGAGCGTACGCATCACGTTCCGTCAGACGCTGCGGCAGCGGAGAGTGTTTGAGAAGTGCGTGCCGCCACCAGAATCTTATTGCTTCACTTACTTTGCTTCGTATTGCTTTGCTGGGAGCTTGCGAGGAAGCCAGTAGGCGTTGTGCAGCCAGGATAGCGGACGCGTCTGGCCTGATGTAGGCGGAGAAAGCCGAAGAGGACCAGCCCCCCAGCTGTTGGAGAGGTGGGGGAGCCCCAGCGAGGCCGCGCGCGTGGCAGCGCCTATCCTGAGGGAGTGGGCTGTATGGAGCTGGGGAGACAGATTGCAGAGGAGCAGTAGGGATCTTAGTCGAGCTCTGAACCAGGTTGCTGTCATGGGAAGGTTGTCTGGAGAGAGATGTGTCGGAGCGAGCTATTATTATGTTGCAGGCGCCTTGGTCTTTGAATGTTTGAGATGCAGGTTGAAAGGGTCAGGGGACATTGTTGGGTGAAAAAGAGCGACCTTTGTGTGATGCTTCCACTACGTCGAGATTATCACACATGACAGAGATCCTCTTTCTCTGCCACGTGTGATTCCACAGCGCGCAGGCCACGACCACTGGGAATATCTCGTGTAGGGCAGAGGAGATGCTCCGGTGGAAGTAGCGGCCACGGCCCGGCAACCCAATGGTCCTGGAGAATCCCCCAAAACCCACGGAAGGGGCACGTCCGTGTAGAAGCGGAGACCTGTAGGGGCAGAGACATGTCGGAGAGGGCCATTGATGTTGCAGGCGCCCTTACGCTTAGAATCTTGGGTCGGAGAGTAGATAATCAGGATAGTAGGATGGTCGGGAAAGCCGCGTCTCGGACCGCATGAAGGTTGAGTGAGCAGTAGTGAAACGCTTATGCAGAGAAGCCATAGAAGGCGAGCAGGAAGATGCTGCGAGGAGGGCAGACATGTACTTGGAAGACGAGCCAGAGTTCAGTGCCGCTCAGAGCTGCTGCAGGATGGGCAGCACGATGGGGGAGCCTGCGATCAGAAGAGTGAAGAATACAGGTATGGATGCCTTTGATTAGGAGTTTGATTGACGGCTCAGCGCAGCCACTCGGCCAGCTGCACTGTTAGACCAGACTGTAAAAACAGCAGTAATATACCACTTTTCAGCCAGTATGACACTGTAAATACCAACTGTGGTAAAAAGCTGTAATTTGCACTGCATCATGGGAAGTTTAACTGACGACATCCACAAAATACAGTATTTTACTTCCTATTTAAAAAATGTTGTATGGTACTGTATTTTTTGCCGCTCATCAAACTCCTTTAACAAGCGCATTCATTTTCACCCCCGAAACACCTGCGCAGACCAGCTCACCACGCGCCCATAAGCAGCAGCCGTTGAGGAGAGCAACATATTGGAAATACCCGGTACGTCTGAATAATAATAATAATAATAATAATAATAATATTAATACAACTGGGCTTTAGAGACGCGAGTCGTGCGGTCCTGGCGCCGTGGCAGCACTATACTGACGCCAGACGAGAGCATTTGAACACGGGGAATACAGCAGCAGGCCCCAGGAGGACGGGAGACACAGAGCGGGCAGTGAGGTGAGCGAGGGATAAAGACACTGATAATAACGTCCTCCTGAACACAAAGTTGGCAAAAGTTTAGTGACTATCGGCTAATTTAAGCTAGGCTACTTGTCGTGTGTTGCTAAGTTAGCCTCGCCAAAGTGATTTAATTGATGTAGACACAGTGTTTGAGAGGATGATGTGACAGACCAAGCTATCCATCCATGGCATGTCACTCGTACAGTGTGAGCAGGTCACTCGTGTGCGTTTTTGCTCCGTACAGTGAGAGCACCTGCATCGTGGGTTCCTACATTTCTCGTGCGATTCAGTATTAATTTTTAATTTTGGTTTAGTGTTAGTTTTAATTTAGTTTTAGTCTTAATGTTTTGACTAAAGCAGAATTAAATTTTAGTCAAAGTTCTCTTAAATTTTAGTTTTAGTCAACTTAGAATAAATATTAGCAATGAAAATTGACTATCATAATTAATCAAGGTCCTCTGCTTTATGGAGCTTTTCCCACATGAAGAAAGCTCAGACGCACAGTATGAGTTTAGCTTGTTCTAAATTGTGTCTCAAATCACAGTGTATGCCCAGCTTTAGTTGATGTTAAATTCTGATGAGGTTTACCTTAGAAAATATCACTCTCATCTAGGGCTGGCTCAGTACGAATATTATCTTCCAGTTTTAAGCTATTGTAAGTTTGAGCCTGGTGACATTTTTGTGAGGGGAAGGCAATATTGGCATTGGCTAGCTAGACAATTGCTTAAAATATACCTGGCCTAGAAGATTGAACGGGAGGATTAGCAGTCAGTCAGGCATATAGCTACTTTGATGTCTAAATGTTACCCTGTTGACTCGCTAGCGTAAGAAGTCGTGTTTTTGTGTGTGAAATGGAACGGTGAATGTCTGAGTCTACGCCTGACGATGTATTGTTGTAAGCATTGTGGCTACCGCACAGCTAATGTTAACACATTTTTTGCCCATGTTAAAATTCACAGAAACTTGGCTAACTACAGGTTTTCATGTGGTATCCAGGTGTGCTCGGGCAACTTCAGGACAATTTTGGCATTAAAGTCCCATATGCACAGAAATCACGTTCCTGCTGTGCAGCTGAAACAAAGCAGGTGTCAAAGCACCTGCAGGTGTCAAAGCAGGTGTCAAAGCACCTGCAGGTGTCAAAGCAGGTGTCAAAGCAGCGTCTTCTGCGAGACATTGAGAGCAACGGAACAGCCATGCAGCAGAGCCAGACTGGCATCGCAACAGTTCTCATCCTTCTGATGCACTTTCTGGAAAAAGAGGACTCCATCTTTCTTTTGGCAGATGTAAGTAGGCGCATTTTATCTAGTGAAGTGAAATGACATGCATGTAATCAAATGTTTCATTTACTGTAGTCTTTGGCTCTAGTCACCAGTCCTTTCCTCTGAGGTTGTATTTTAAAATGATTGAAATCCCTTTTTGTGTGTGTGTGTTTTTAAGATAAATGCGACAAAGCTGTCAGTTGAAGCAGAGATGACCCTTCCAGCCACGCCAAGACTGATACTGCTTGGTAAGATGAGACTTCCCCTTGATTTTAGAAGAATTTTTAAAGTATGACTATGTGCAATGTGTGTTTTTTTGTCTTCAGGGAACACATTTCTCTCAGCCATGAAATGGATGGTGAGCTTTGAGGGAAGAGTTGCCTACATCTTAGAAGAGCATCTGGGCTTTGCAGATGCGTTGTCAGTATTCTTCGGATGCTTCTATGTTTTTAACATAGAGTACCAGGAGCCTGCATGTGCAACCCTTGAGCTCATTCAACGGCAAGTGTTTTTATCACACATCTCTGGCAAAATATTAAAGGAATAGGCCACCGTTTTTACATACTAAGATATGTTCTTACCTTAGCTTTGACAAGTTCATTTGTAC